AGGGGCTGTGTGCTGATGACCAGGGGACAGGTTTGCAGGGTATACCCTTTGGTTGGTTGCTGATGCATGGAGGGGATTATAACCATGGCAATGAGACGATATACGATAGGATGAACGTAAAGCTAATGTTCTCCCATGTAAACTATCACATAATTCACAATAAAACATTAAAAAAAAAAAAAATTCCATGAAAAATTTCCATTATCTTTTCATTCTATTTTTCCACAAACTTTTAAAGCCCTTTCATATACCCAGTTGTTGTTTTGTTGTTGTGTGCCATCAAGTAGGTTCCGCCTTAACCCTATACAGGATTTCCAAGAGCAGATGGTAGATCTGAACTGCCAACCTTGTGGTTACTAGCCCAGTACTTATCCTATAGTGCCACACCAGGGTTCTCTCATACCTATATTGTTGTTGTGTGCCATCAAGTCTGTCCCAACTCATAGCAACCCTGTATAGGATTTCTGAGAGCAGCTGGTGGGTTTGAACTTTCAACCTCACAGTTAACCAATCCAGTGCTTATCCTACAGTGCCACACCACCACAACTCACCAGAGGCCTAAAAATAATGACAGATACATGTGCATACCAATATTCATTACTACTTCATTCACCATCACAAATAAAAGTAAACCACCAAAGTGTCATCAACAGATGAAAGGATAAGCAAACTGTGATAGGTACATACAATGGAATACTGCTGTTAAGTGCCAGTGGAGTGGGTTCCAACACTGATAAGTATGCAGAGCATATTATAACGTGAATGGATCTGGAGGGCATAATGCTAAGTGATATAGGTCAGCACATAAAGACAAATAGGAGTCCTGGTGTGGTACTGTAGGATAAGCACTGAACCGCAATGTCAGTTTGAAGCGCAGGGTCAGAAATTCAAACCCACCAGCTGCTCCTTGGAAACCCTAGACAGGGTCTCCAGGAGTCAGAACCAACTCAGTGGCACTTAACAACAACAACACTGTCCATTAATGGTTACCAGAAGAGGGTAAGAGGTGGGGAAAGTATGCTTCATACCATGTTGTTGTTGCTGTTGAATGCCATCGAGTCAGTTCCGACCCATAGCAACCCTGTGTAGGGTTTCCAAGGAGCAGCTGGTAATCTTGAACCAGTGACTTTCTGATTCAAACGACTTTGCAGTCCAGCGCATCAATCCACAGCATCACACCAGAACTGTGTTTTGTATCGTCGTCATCGTGATGTGCTGTGGAGTCAGTTCCGATTCATAGCGACCCTGTACAGGGTTTCCAAGGCTGTAAATCTTTACAGGAGTAGAAAGCCTGATCTTTCTCCTGCGGAACAGCTGGTAGTTTCGAACTGCTGACCTTAAGGTTCACAGCCCGATTCATAATCACTACACTACCACAGAGCCTAGTTATTTTTGATGATGGGAAAAGTAGCATTGATTGTGGCTGTACTGTGCACAGCACAACCAAAATAATGAGCATTTGAGCACATAAAGATGGCACAGGCAAAATGGTATATGGATAAGTATATGGATGTGTTCTGTTCATAGGTGAGAACAGATCAAGTATCAAAAAGATGTGTAGTGCAAATACAAAGGAAGTTTATACCATAAAGTTCCTGGAAATTTTTATTACCTTTTAATTCCATTTATCTACAAGTTTTTTGAAGCTCCCTCATATATGATGACAAGCACATATATTCACCAAAGACACAAATAAGGATACTCTTCAAACATTGCCAAACATATCTTTCAACTTTGGTTTTCTGCAATTTCAACACTTAGATTAGAGCCAAGCCCATTCTCTTGGAACAACTGAGTCAATTAGCATACATAACTCAAAAAATCATGATCTGCACATTAGAAGGTCCTGAAAAGAGTGGGAAAAAACGGTGGAACAAAACTCAAAATCATAAAGAAGACCAAGCTAACTGGTCGAACTGAGAATGATGGAACCCTTGAGACTATATAGCCGGCAGTTACCCTTCCTATCTGGAAATGAGCTCACCTCCATGGCTCACTTTTCAGTCAAACACAGACAGGTGTATAAGAGGGCCAATAACACTAGGTAGGTATGCACTCCTTAAAAGAATCAACCATTTGAGTCCAAAAGGCTGTATTTGCCCATGGACAAAGTTCAGAAGAGTTAGAAAAGGCAGAATGGACAGGAAACACAGGGAGGAAGTGGGAGAAGCAATGTTACACAGTTTGGATAGCAATCAATGACATGAAACAAAATGTGTATGAATTATATGGAAAACTGATTTGAACTATAAACCCTCACCCAATTCAAAAAGTTTAAAAAATATATATGTATTATGATCTGCAACCTAGTGAAGTGAGTAGCATTTGGGGTCTTAAAAACTTCTGAGTGGTCATCTAAGACACAAGTATGTTGTTGTTAAGTGCCGTCGAGTCAATTCCAACCCATAGCGACCCTGTATGGGGTTTCAAGGAGCAGCTGGTGAGCTTAAACCACCGACCTTGCAGTTCAAATGACTTTGCAGTCTGACGCATTAACCCACGGCATCACACCAAGACACAAGTATAGGTAGGTATCAACTTGCCAGAAGCAAAACAGCAAGAAGGTAGCCAAAAATGCAGAGAAGAGACAAGTCTACACTAGCAGCAACCTCATCCTCCCCATATCCCAAGACCAGAAGAACTAGGTGGTGCCCTGCTACTACCAACGACCATTCTGACAGGAGTCCCAATAGCTGGTTCCAGACAGAATGGGAGAATAGAGAGAATAATTCAAATTCATATATTTTTAAAAATCCAGACACATGAAACAGCAGAAATCATGGAGACTATTGCACTGAGATACTCTTTAAACCTAGAACTGAGCCTATATGTAGTGAAACAGCAAAGTGGCCCACAAAATTAAGGATGTCACCCATAAAATCAGGGATCAACCTAAAAACTATCAGTATGACACTAAAAGATAATCAGGTTCTCAAAAGCAAAAATGAAAAAGATAAGGTGGCAGGGAAACTATAATACTAGAGAGAGAACAAACAGAACACAATTAAAGAGAATGTTGATACATGGCGGTAAATATATCTAATGTCACTGAACAATCTATGTAGAAATTGTCAAACTATGCCTAACTTATACCAAAAGCTCAACAAAATATTATTGAAAAAAAGGAAAGCCCTTGGAGCATGGTTCTACTTGAACACACAGGGCTGCCATGAATTTGAGCCAACTAAACAGCAACTGGTTTGTTGTTTTTTATATGAGGAAGAGGGGAATTAACGGCTCAGTGATAGAAGTTTAGCCTTCCATGCAGGAGAGCCAGGTTAGGTTTCCTTTTCAGCCAATGACTGTCCCATGCAGTCACCACGCTCTGTCAGTGGAGGCTTACATGTCGATTTGATTTTAAACACATTTCAGCAGAACTTCCAGTCTAAAGCCAACTAAGAAGAAAAGTCCAGTGACCTATTTCTGAAAATCAGTCAACGAAGACCCTATGGATCGCAACGATCCAATCAGCAACTGACCATGGGGATGGCTCAGGTCTGAGCAGCATTCTGTGCTGTTGTGTATAGTATCAACATGTTGACAGCAGCTAACAGCAAGTAAGAAAATCTTACGCAACGCCTAAAAATGACGGCATACCAAATGTTCAACAACAAATGACTGGATAAACCAATATACTATATCCATGCAATGGCATATCGCTGCTGTTGTTAAGTGCTGTTGATTTCAACTCATACTACCTTGTACAGGGTTTCTGAGGCTCAGCTGGTGGGTTTGAACCACCGACTTTGTGGTTAGCAATACAATGTTTATCTTACAGTGCCACACCAGTATTTCAAAAAAAAAAAAAAGGAGTATTAATCATCCATTAATAGAAATGAAGTCCTGATACAATCTATAGCATAGCTAAACCTTGAAAATACTATGCTGAGTGAAGTAAGTCCATCACAAAAGGACAAATAGTGTATGAGCCCACTTATATAACATCTCTGTTTTTGTTAAGTGCTGTTGAGTTGGTTCTGACCCAAAACAACCCTGTATAGGGTTTCCAGGGAGCAGCTGATGGGTTTGAACCGCCACCTTTCAGTTCAAATTGCCCTTTTGGTCCAGTGCTTATCCTACAGTGCCACATCAGGTCATGATATAAAATCTCTAGTATTGGAAAATGCATAGAGCACAAAGTTCATTTGCGGTTAGCAAGGCCTGATGGGAAGAAGGAGTGAGAAAGTCACTGCTTAAGAAGCACTGAGTTTCTGCTAAAGGTGAGGGAAGAAAATAATTGGAAACAGGTGCACAACACAGTGAACAGAAATAATGTCAGTAAGTTGTACATGTAAAAAATGTAGACATGTAAACTGTTTTGCTATTTATATTTTTACAACAATTAACAAAAATGATGGCATGGGAGTACATTTGTTGACATGGAATCATGTCATCATGCTAAGTAAAATAAAGAAAAAACAGAAGTGTATACTGTCTAATTCCATTTTGGCAGAATATATACCAAAATGCTTTTTACAAAGTGGTTATCTGGGCACAGTAGGATCTGGGATCATTTTAGTCTTTTTTTTTTTTTTTTTTTCAATATGGTCTTCCTTCCAATGGTGAACATACATTATTTACTTAAAGAAAAAAAGTAGTATAGGAAAGTGAAGGAGTGGGAAAGAAGAAAGAAAAGATACAGAAAAGAGAAACGTGAACCAAAGGGAAAAGATAAAACAGAGAAATGAAACAGTAAAAATAAGCATCATAGGATGTAAGAGCTGCAATGTCTGACATATCAACGAAGTTTGTTCCTCAATCACAGAAAATGCATTATGAACATCAGCTGGCTGAACCAAACCCCTCCACACCTAACCCTTGCCATTTTGTAGAGGATAGGTCCAAACACCATAGTGGTAAAGGAATCTCCTCAGTCCCCAGAACTGGTCCAGTACTCTACCCTTCAGGCTGGGGTTTCAGCTTATCCCCATGCAGAGAAAAAGGGTCCAGGACCTTGCTCTACATGTATCCCTCCCTTAGGTGGGTCACTCAGGTCATACCTCCTTAGCCAGCCTACGCGCCTCATAGTAGGGCCGGGCCTTCTCAATGCAGCTCCCCAACTGGGAGCCCTGCGTGTTGAGCTTCCTTGCTGACTCCTGCAGGATCCTTCGATAAGTAGTCCGGGCCTCCTGGCAAAGACAGAGAGGAATATGGACAGAGGGAAGGCACATGCATGGATTGTGGCCCTTTCCCCTCAACACTGTATCAAATATGGAGAGACAAAGATCAACCTAAGAATGGGGGGAAAAGGAGCAACACTCACATCCAGCTGCAACTCCACCTGGTTGATCTCCTCGCTGGCCTGGTTCAGATGTTCCAGCTCCTCCTGCAGAGAGGCAAAAGCAGAGTTACAGGGGAAGGAAGGCTGTGCACATAGAAAGCCTCGACCTCCCTCCCAGAAAGAGGAGAGGAAAGAGACATGGAAAAAGGAAGAGAAAGAATGAAGTGCAAACCATGTATTGAATGCCTCCTTGTCAGAGACCTAATATAGTCTCATGCTCACAACTCTACTAAAAACTGCTTTTTAAACATGAGGAAGTTTAGCTCAGGAAGGAAAACTCTCTTATGCACATAGCAAGGTGGCAGAGAAGCCCCTACTCTCCTCAAAAAACTACACAAACTTCCAACACACCAGCTAAGAGAAGCTTGCCCTCAGAGCTACAGGTTTCTGCCCCAAACCATACATTCTCCAGACCAGGGCATGAGCCTCAGGCCAGTGCACAATCCACTCACTCAACACACATTTGCTGGCCATTTCTCACAGTCAGCACCATGAAAAGACATAACCATCAGGTGCTCGGTAGTGTGTAGAGGGGTGGAAAGGTGTGTGTGGGTTATGAGAGAGAGCAGCAAGATCAGCTACCTGGGCAGCATAAGTCAAGGTTGGATGCCTGGAACGCTTTCTCCCAGGCCAGACCTAGATGGATGCCCAAAAAAGCGACAGGGACGGGGAGTGGGCTAGGGATCCATAGGGGGAGAAGATGATCCAGGCTGACCATCATGGCTGAGACTAAGGGGAGGGAGCACCAGGTCTTTTTCCCTTAACAGCAAGGAAAACTTCAGACTTTGGTGCCATCAAGTTTTGTGTTTTAAGGAGAATCTGAACAGTTTGGAAAAGTCTGGTTGTGGACAGGGAAACAAATGTAAAGGTAGGATTCCAGGTGGAAAACAAAGCAACATGGAATGGGGAGAGCAGAGCCTGGAAAATCCAAATTGTGAAATCAGGAGGGCTTGTGGATGCTTAGGGTCAAGATTAGGGAAGAGTGTGGAATCTAAGAGTCCTCTTGGTTGCTTACGCAGTGGAGTGGCAGAAAGCCCAGGTCCCAACACAACAGATACAGGAAGGTGAGACTGGGGAGAAATCGCCTGACATGCTGGTTTGAGTTTGCTGTTGTTATAAGTGCCGTAGGAGTTGCTTCCAACTCACAGCGACCCTGTATAGGATTTCCATGGAGGAGTTGGTGGGTTTAAACCGCTAACCTTTGGTTAACAGTCGAGTGCTTATCCTACAGCGCCACACCAAGACACCTTAAGTGTGTGGTATAATGGATTATTTTATGTCTCTTCTAGCCTTAGTCGTAACTTCCACCAAATGACTATTTTCCAGATGTTGTTAAGAACTGTGGAGTCAGTTCCAACTCATATTTACCCTGCACAGGGTTTCCGAGGCTGTAAATCTTTACGGGAGCAGAATGCCTCATCTTTCTCATGCGGAACTAGGTTGCAATAAAAGGTGGTAGAAGATACTTACAAGATGACATGAAATGTAAATGATTGTTAACTGAGTTCATTGTGACTGTAAAAACTTGGAACTCTAACATGGGTGTAAAATGAGTCATCTCAGAAGCAAGGGGGGGCGGTCTTACTACAATCAAAAAAAGAAGCCAGGAGATCCCTTTGCATTAAACCTCCTCAAGACAGAAAGCTGTGACACCCGAGATGTTGCAGAGGAGGAGCAGCAGCAGAACCAAGAGCCAGAGCATGAGAAAGAGTGTGGGCTTCCCAGCCCCTGGAACAAGTAAAGCTGAGCGCTTTGGGTAGGAGGCTTGTTAGCAGAGTACAATGCCTCCACATACTATCTATACTGGGAGAGCCAGGTTTGCTAACCCATATAGTAAGAGCCAAGTGCCTTCAGAATAAAGCTTATGGTGGAGTGTATGTCCTGTGAACATTTATCAGGAGCCCTAAAAGGGCTTTGTAACATTGCCAGACCCCGGCAGAAGCCAGGCCAAAGGCCCATGGGCTAGAGAGGGCCTACCAGCGAGCACAGCAGAGGGGCAGCCGTCCTAATGGAAGAACTGTGCCCTGAACATTTATTTCTAACTGTGAATTGTAACCTGTTAGCTTCCCTAATAAACCCCGTAACTGTGAGTATGGTGTCGGAGTCTGTGTGACCACTGCAATGAACCTCGCTGAGCAGAAAGGGCTGTGAGAGGAATGGTTGGTGCCATATCATTTTTTGCAGATTGCCTCACAAGCCCTGGGGCTGGAGAAGGAAGTACAGCAGACACCCCAGGCCTCTCCCTGATGTGGCAGAAAGCACAGAAGGGTGCTGGTACATAAGTCACCCTCTGCTGCCAGAGAAAACACTAGGCCAAGTTCCTAGACCCACTGTCTAGGGTGCTCCTAAGAAGCAGTGCTGGTCTACGCCAATGGCCCTGCCTGGGGAAAAGCCTAGTGCTCAGCAGCGGTCTCTGTCTCCATCTCTATGAGCCCAGAAGGCCCTGGAAGGACTCAGCACAGGGTCTGCATGTTGGCCACCACCTATACATACCCTGCGCTCCTCAAAGACACCACAATAGCCTCTCATTCATCTGGCTGGTGATACTAACAACCTCAATGGGAACTCTCAACCATCCAGTGAGGTGGTCAGACTAGGATGTATAATCATAAGAGGTTGTATTTTTAGACCTTTCCTTGATGCTGTAAAGAGTTGAGTCAGCAAGTAAAAATATGGGAAAACAAGTCAAGTCCATTAATTATAGTGAAAGCAAGAAAAACCAAAGGTAGAGAGAAAATGCAATTGACTGTGCATGCCACAATAATATAATATAGGCTCTACATCGGGAGAGCCACAAAGCTGGCTCTAAACATTCTAGAACTAAAAAATCCAATAGAAATATAATGCAAGTCACATACAGAATTTAAAATTTTCTAGCATCCACAATTTTAAAACGCAAACACAAGGTAAAATAGTAACAATATATTTCATTTAACCCAATATTGTTTGTTTTGTTTGTTAAGTGCCGTCGAGTCGGTTCCGACCCATAGCGACCCTGTACAGGGTTTCCGAGGGTGTAAATCCTTACGGGAGTAGAAAGCCTCATCTTTCTCCCGCGGAGCGGCTGGTAGTTTCGAACCGCTGACCTTAAGGTTCGCAGCCCGATTCGTAACCACTACGCTACCAGAGCTCCTAATATAAACAAAGTATTATTTCAACATGTAATCAACACAAAATTATTAACTACATCTTTTTTATTATTATTATTCTCTACTAAATCTCTGAAATTCAGTGTGTATTTGACCCTCACAGTACTACCTCAACTTGAGCCACACACTCCCATACTGGATGATGCTAGTCTAGATGTTGATGCATACTGGCAACCTGATTTGTCACACAACCCAGTGTCCATAAGAATACAAAACAAGTCAAGTTTTCAGGAGTGGCACAACCACTCTGGACCTCGAAAGCAGCAGACATTCTTCAGAGGATCTTAGATAAAGCCAACAATCAACCTAAGGACATAACTTCGAATTCTGATTACTCCACAGGACCCTCAGAAAAAGCAATTCTTTATCAAAGTGAGGCAACATGATGCCAAGTAAATGCCCAGCTTCCTATGGCTCAACTTAACCCAAAGGGTGTTCCAGACTGCATAGAAGAGGAGGTGACTATCCTTTCAGCAGCCCCTCCAGAAGACTCTCTTTCTCAATCCATTTGCATTTCAGAGATGAAAAGCAATGAGTGATTTGCCCAACACAAGACAGATAATCAATAACAGGAGTTGAGTCTAAATTCAGAACCTGACCTCTGATCTTGCTTTCCTGCAGCTGTGCTACTCTCTTAGGACTAAGGATGGTCCTGGGTGGCCTGCTTAGATAAAGAAGACAAGAAGTGATGTCACTAACGAACACTGCAACACTGGTAGGAAATGGATCAGCTCAGGAATGCAATAAACACTGGTGGGGGAGAAGGAAGGGAAGGAGGCAAGCCAAAAGACTACCCTAGGACGTTCATGTGGGCAAACCAAGATTCAAGACTGGATACCCACTCTGTTGGTGGCCCAAACTACTCCCATTCCCTGATTCCCAATGCTGACAAATCAATTAGAGAAATGAATAGCTCAGCAGAAACCATCCCCACAAGAAAATGATGTAAAGGCTCTTACAGCTGACAATGGGTCCAAGCAGGAGCAGGAGCCATAGTGCATCTCAAAGCTATTAAAAGGTCTTTGATGATATGAAAATCAACTTCTAGCAAGGTTAGTGTCTGCCCCTCTGAATCATTAAGTTCTTTCTAATGAGACAAGGAAATGACTACAGGACAGGCTAAGAGTAAGCCAATAGGGATGGCAGGGGCAGATCCAGAGCAAGGCTGAATGATACATTCCATTTGGCTAGCTCCTCTAGAGACTCCTGTCACTCAGAGAAATGGAATTCTGAGTCAGCACATATCATCCATCAGTGAGCCAATAGCCAGGAAGGATGACCTTCCCAGAACACACAGGGTACATTCCCAGGATGCCAGAACACTGAGCCAAATGCTTGAGCATTTGGGATACAGACGCTAGTGCCCCACCTACTAAAGAAGATCAAAGGACTGTCAGAAGTGGCAGAAGGGTGTTACATGGCCCAAGAACTTGTAAATAAAAGAAATAAGATTATCCTGTGGGTGTCAGCCCTACTTTTATAGATGAGAACATAGAAGCTGCAGGTAAGAAGACTTGTCAACAGCCTCAGTATATTAACATTTCAGAGAAAAAGGAAGACACCCAGTGAGATGGATTGGGCACAATGACAGCCACAATAGACTCAAACTCTACAATTGTAAAGATGGTACAGGACCGGCTAGTGTTTTGCTCTGTTGTGCATGGAGATGCTATGAGTCAGAATCTACTCAATGGCACCTAACAACAACAACAACAAAAATTGTGTCTGTCACAAAGGGGCTGGGTTATCAGAGCAAGTCACAGGAAGAGTAAACAGGGTTTATTCTCCTTTTTTTCCTTACCTCTTCGGTGACCTTCTCAAAAAACTGAGATCAACCTGGAGATCTCATGACACCAGAGACACAATCAGTGGCATTTCTGTATGGACAGCCCACTTCATGCCAGCCGCCAGATTACTTTCTTCCACCTTCCAGAGGGATCTCACCAAACCATGTGAAAACAGAACTGCCACTCTGCCAAGGAACCACATTCTCACTGCCTAGCAACCTCTTCTGAGAGCAGGGTCCCAGCTTTTGAGATATAAGCCTAAGTCAGGTGAACTCAGCCCTGGCTAGACATTAAAATCACATCATGTCCTACTCAGATCCAGAGAATTCACACTTCTGGGAGCAGTTCAGGAATGAATGGATCTATTGATGGAGACCTACTATATATGCATTATGAATCCAGAAAAATGAACACCCATTTAAAGTGATGAAACACATTATCAAGGCAACATAGTCTTGGGTATTGTCAACACTAAAAAGTACCTCAAAAGACATATAACTCAATATCCTTCTTATCCAGAATATGGGTCCAAACCCAGAAGAGTTCAATGCTGCCTGGGCACCTCCATGAAGGTTGCTCCTCACACCAGGTTCCCTTTCCCACATGGCAAAAAGGGCATGCAACCATGGCAAGATGACTGCTAATCTCCTGCTGCGACAAGAGGGCAGACACAAGACCATTCCTCTCTACTGCAACTCATAACATTTCACAATGTTCTCAATACCACTAAGATAGAAGAACAAACAGAAAATACGATAAAAAAAAATCTGAAGGCCAAAGATTCATGTTGGACAACATGAAGAGGAATAACTTAAGAATTATCAGCATTCCAGAACAAGAAGAATCACACAAATCCACAGAGGAAATAGTTAAAGAACTGTTGGAAGAAAATTTATCTAACATCCTGAAAAGTGAAAAACTAAACATTCAAGAAGTTCAACGAACCCCAGGAAGGACAGACCCCAAAAGAAAATCACCGAGATATATCATAATCAAGCTCTCCAAAATCAAAGATAAGTAGACACTCCTGAAAGTAACTAGGGTAAACAGAAGTGTTACACACAAAGGCAAACAAGTCAGATTAAGCTCGGATCTCTCAGCAGAAACCATGCAAGCAAGAAGGCAATGGGGAGACATATATAAAACCCTGAAAGAAAAAAACTGCCAACCAATAATTCTTTATCCAGCAAAGCTATTAATCAAATATGATGGTGTAATCAAAACATTCCAGGATAAACAGAAGCTAAGGGATTTTTGCCAAAGCCAACCCTGCGCTACAAAACATCCTAAAGGGAGTTCTGTGGACTGAGAACCAACAAGAACAGACAACAACCAAAGATTGACATACATGGTAGTACCTCCCAGAACTAAATCAACAGAAGGAAGAGTCGAGAACACAATGTACTGTGTGTGTAGTTTAGCAAGAGATAGAGCCTGAGCTACCCCTCATGCATCAGTAACACTACAAGCTGATGGGGGGTAAGGTGAACCTTATGCCTGACCTTACTATAAGCCTCCACAGAGCCAAGCCAACAGAACTAGCCTAATGACAAAAAATATTCTATTTTTGCACTGGCTGATAGAACAGGGACACTGCATTTTGTATTTAATTTTAACTGATTTTTATTTCAATAGCCACAAGTGAGTAACGGCTACCCTACTGGGGAGCGCAGCACCAGAATGACTACTGCCTTGACGTTGTGGGGTACTGGAAAAATATCCAATAGCAAAAGAGGCTGAGGAAAAAGACTGTAGTGGGTTCTTTCAGGAGCAAGGCAAGAAAGACTGTGAAGGATAGAAAGTGTTATAAAGTCCTCTTTCCCAAGGAACAGACTTTTCCAAAGTGCTACCAACACACTTCCATCAAAGAACAAGCAAAAAAGATTCAGTGAAAGACAAGAACTGTACGTAAGATCTGTGTCAAACCACAGTTGTATGGAGTCACACAAATCAGCTTAACCCTCACACTGAAGAGGAAACTGAGGCTCAGAGAGGTTATATAGCTGGCTTTAAAAATCACAATCACATATCATGGAGTTGAACATCCCATATGGCTGTTTTCATAATCTGTTTCCTCAGTGGATGACAAATCTGTAGAATTAGCGGGGAAAATGGAGTTGTTCTCAATGTAATGCCCATGAGGCACAGCAGAAATAAATTACTGACTCATGCTAGAAAGAAACTCCATTATAAGTGTAGACACATTCAGGAAGAGGCACACACACACACACACATATCCTAGGAACCTCCACCAAAAGGATAGAGAGGAAAACAGGACCAGCTTTTATTTCTTTTCCATTTGCTGGAACTATCCAATAAAGGTCTGTTGACGGATAAATTCAGAACGTACAACCAGAGATACGCTTACTCACCTACACAGAGGGATGAGTCACTTCCACATTAGAATCCTGGAGATGCTATTGGATCAAATGGCAGACTCAGATCCCAAACACTCAAGAGCAGCGTGGCCCTCATCTGCCCAACTAGCTTCCCAGGGAGACCTTCCTGGATGAGGCCCCGGAATACTACACCCCAGTCTTAGTATGTACCTCTTCCACACACTATACCTCCTCCTCACTTGGTCTCTTTCACAAAGATCTGTGGATCCTACCAACCAGATTATAAACACTCTCAATGGTAAAAAAAAAAAGTTCTTCCATTCTGTTGGTATATCTACACAGCATCCTGAATGCCTAAAAGCGTATTAAGGGTGGACCATGACTGATACAAATCTCTTGAACCCAAAATGAGCCAAACCCTGGTGCCACCTTTATAAGACCTGAAAGATCTAATTCTGTACAGATGTGAAAGTCCCTGGGAAGTACTGATAAGATTTTTGTTGTTGTTATGTGCTGTCAACAGTTCTGACTCACAGGTACCCTCTATAGGGTTTCCAAGGAGCAAATGGTTAATTTGAAGCACTCACTTTGCGGTTCAAACCAATCTTGCAGTCCAGTGCACTATCCCACTGCACCACATATGGTGGTGGTGGTTATATGCTGTGGAGTCGGTTCTGACTCATAGCAACCCTAAACAGGGTTTCTGAGGCTGTAAATCTTTACGGGAGCAGAGAGCCTCATCTTTCTCCCGTGGAATAGCGGTAGTTTCTAACTGCTGACCTTGCAGTTCGCAGCCCAATTTGTAACCACTACTCTACCAGAGCTCCTTGCGCCACGTACAGAAGAGGGAAAATGATTTGATCGCTCAGCATTAAAACTGCCTCCCAGGCTCAGTTATCTCTTACATCCCACTAGCAAAGCATTTCTGAAGGAACAGCCTCATCCCTCTGCTTATTTGGAAAGGAAAACAACAGTTCTAATGTGGACACATTCCTTCCACTGACCTAAATGCAACTCCCTGGATGTGCTGCCAATGTGTTGCTTTGCTTCTTCAGGGAAGCTTCAGCAGCATACCCTAGAACTAAGGCCAAGGCTTTCTCAGCACCTCAGCCATACAGCTCTTTTGGCACTTGTCACATTGCATTGTAATGATTTGTTGGCAAACTTGGTTTTCCTTTCACTGGGAGAGAATCTAACCCATCACCATCTGACAGCTCTTCATAAAGGCTGGATTCTGAGCTCCCTGCCTCTCCCTTTATTTGGTTTACTAACCTGTATTCTAGGATCCAGTTCTTCCTCCTCTTTTGGGGACAATTTGGTCTCACTGCTATTGTTCCCGCCTCCTCCAGGTTCCTCTGCAACTGGGTTCCTAGGAACTTCATCCTCAACAACCTCTGGTCGCAGCTCCCCCTGTGGGGTCTCCCGCCTGCCTGGAACCTCCCTCCGCTCAGTCATGCTGACAGGTGAGGGCAGTGCAGAGCCCTATGCACAAGAAAGGACTGACATGCTGGGGACCAGGGCCCAAGCTTGGAGTTTCTTAGGCTCTGGGCAGCAAGGGACAAAAGTTTCTTGTCAAAAGGCAGAAAAAAGGGTCACAGGAAAAACCTCACACTAAGTTAGAGGCTGAGATTCAAACTGCAAGTGGGGTTCCTAAAAAGATGGCCTTGTCCGGGCAAAAGTCCTTCCCTCCTTGCGATGGGGAGTCCACCAGGAGAGATCCGGAGCAACAGCTCCAAGGCAGGGGGTAAAGGGGGTCTGGATCCTGGGCCGAGGCCTATAAGAAGGAGCACCATTCGGGAGGGCGGAGGCAGGCGCCTCCAGGCTGTGGTGGCAGCTGGAGAGTGAAGGATAGGCCTGAGCAGAGGAGGCTGGAAGAGCGTCTCTGGGGAGCTGTAAGGAAAACAAAGGCCAAGTATATGATCATACCAGCATCAGAACCTAAGCCATGGCTCAGCCACCCTCCTGCTATACCTCCGATTTCGGAACCGCCCCATCTCAACTTCTTCCATCATCTTTCAAGGACTTTAGGCTCAGCTTTTTCCCAGCCCCAGGTCCTTTCCGCACCAACGCCTTTCAGACTTCCCGCGGAGCTCCCACCTCCTCCTGTACCCGTCTTACCTACCGCCCACTCCATGGCATCCTCGCCCATTTTAGCAATTCACCTTATAAACCCCCAGCCCCGCCCCAACCCCTCGTCTCTCCACAACCCTCCGTACAGTCTGAGCTTCCGGTCTCCAATTTACACTCAATCCCAAGGGCCCTGCTCCCGGGCACCCCACATATCCAAGAGCAAAAACCACGCTTCACAGCCTTACCTCAGTTTACCTTCCCGAGAGCAGAGATCTTCAGCTGCAAACAATCTTACCCCTCCCTCCCCACAACAAGCTGGTCCAATCAAATATGACAAGGCTGAGAGGAAGCGGAAATACATCATCTTATAACAACTTCCTCCCGTCTAATAGCCCCTCCCTCCTCTCGAGAGTAAAACCCGCCTAGTCTGGATATCCCAACACTGGCTTCTCACCCACCATCTCAACCCCACCCCCACCCCCCCGCCGCGTCCCCAGGCTTCGGTTTCCGTACAAAATGGTGTATCACAGATTTCAAGTCTACCCATGTTACCTCGATTCCATTCTTCACCAAGCCTAGAAAGAAATTTTTTTTAATAAGCGCGTTGTGATGAGAAAAACTAGGTGAGTGCTGAAGTCTAGAGTCTCGAGTGCTTAGGGACGTACTATAGCAATAAAACTGATTGAATAATAGACGCATAGAGAATGCTGCCATCTTGTTTACGGAACTCGCGGCAGCCGGAAAGTAACTTAAGATCTTGCAAAGAAAACCGACCGTGGCGCGGGACCCAGTCTTTGAGTCCAGGCATGATTTCACTCCGGTAATGCAATGGACGTTTTGACCCTCAAGGTCAGAGGTTCAAACTCACCAGCCGCTCCTCGGAAACCCTATGCAAGGTCACTATGAATCGGAACCTATTCTTCGGCACTTAACAACAATGGGATGCAAGGTCGTTTTCCAGAAGTGACTTTTTACCCTAGTGAAGTCAGAGGGACTCCTAATAAGCTCTGATGGGAAAATATTCTGCTTGACGAATCCAGCATCCTCTCCTTGAATCTGGCAGCTGCTGCTCCTCAAGCCAGACTCTCACACACTGAAAGGCATTTCTGTGAATATTAATTAGAAACGTAGTCAACTTTAACTTCGTGAACTCATTGCTCAAAAGCCCTCAAGGAGGAGGAGTTTCTGTTGGTGGCTTGGCCTTCTCATTTCTTGACTCAATGATATGGACCAGACATGGGCGGAGAACCTGGTCATCATTTCAGTGTGGCATCAGACAAGGCCAGGACTGACAAATACTTCAGGACTGGATGTTGTATTTTTACAAAAGTCCTGCGTTCCTCAGAGCCAAGTCAAGGTTTGTCCGGAAGGTTGTCTTAAGTGCCCTTGAGTTGGTTACGACTCATAGCGACCCTGTATGAGGTTCCTGGGAGCTCTGGAGTCAGGCTGCTTACCTCAAGGTCAGCAGTTCGAAACAACCAGGAGTTCTGCAAGAGAAAGATGAGGCTTTCTGCTCGGAAACCCTAGACAGATTCGGCACACAACCACCACCAGGAGCCAATCACCAAGGAGCAGCTGGTGCGTTTGAACCGCCAAACCACTGACCTTTTGGTTCACAGTCCAGTGCTTATCCTACAGCGCCACAACAGGAGTCCTATTCTAAAAGTAGATAAGGTAAATGGAATGAATCGTTTCCTTGGATCACCACCCCTCTATTCCTCATCCCTTGAGTAACCGCATCAAAAAAAATTAAGCACAGTTGAATATATTCCTTCTAAAAAGCAAGCAGACTTTAAAGTTTTGTTGTTTTTTTTCCCCAATGACTTTTCTCACTTTAGTAAGTCAGCAGCGCCCTTAGTATCCAAGTCTAATGAAACAGCTCTGATGAGTAATGTTAAGTGCTGTTAAAAGTTGGTTCTGACTCGTAGCAAACCTGTGTAGGGTTTCCAAGGAGAGGTTGGTGGGTTTGAACCACCGATCTTGTGGTTAGCACCCCAATACTTATTCCTACAGCATCACACCAGGATTCCCTAATAGGCAGTAACACTCCAGTTTTGTAGTACATTCCTTTTATTATTAAGAGGCATACAAAAACCATGAAAATTACTTACAGATATCATGAACATAGTGGCGCTGTGTGTGGGTTAATGTGCCAGACTGAAAAGCCTTTTGAACGGCAAGGTCTGTGGTTCAGGTTCAGCAGCTGCTCCTCAAAACCCTATACAGGGTCGCTATGGGTCAGAACAGACTCGATGGCACTTAACAACAACAAGAAGTCTCTTTAGTTTTGGAGAATTTAAATTTCACTGTTATGATTCCATCAATACTGATATTCCTCATCGATGTCCTCTTCTGAATCCAGCTTGAATTCTGACAGTTTCTGCATGGTTTTTTTTGTTGTTGTTGTTTGTTTGTTTTTTTAACTTTTTATTGTGACTTGAATAAAGGTTTACAGACAAGATTACATTCAACAAATCATATATTTTGTTTCATCTCCATATTTACAATCCCCTCCATGCTTCCTGCTTCTTCCCTGTGGTTCCTGTTTGCATTCCACCAGCCATCCTATCCTGCCTGAGATTTGTTCAGCTTTTTAGATGTTTATTTTTTCATCTCTCATGATGTTAGGGAAATTTTCTTCCAGTAGCTCTTCAGCTATCTTTTCTTTTGTCTCTTCCTGTTCTGGAATTCTGATCACCCATAGGTTATTCCTCTTCATGCTGTCACACATGAATCTTTGGCTTTCTTCAGATTTTTTTCATTCTTTTTTTGATTGTTCTTCCTTACTAATGTTGAGAGATTTATGTTCCAGCTCACTAATTGTGGTTTCCATTGATTCAAATCTACTCCTTTGCCCTTTCAGTGTATTGTCAATTTCTGATATTTTACATAATCTTCTGAGTTTTTGTTTGTAGGTTTTGTATTGTATCCACTCCTCTATTGTTTGTTACTGTAGTTGTAGTGCTTTTCCGAATTCTTCCTTGTTTTCCTTGGCCTTTCTGGCAATTGTTTGGAGGTATATAAATACCAATCTCATTAATTATTTTCACGTAGTTCCTGTGCCTCTTAATCCTCAAAAACATTTTCTAGCTTTGACTCTTGGTCTTATGTTTGAGCTACTCTGCCTTGTTTTTTCATGTAAATGGAAATTGTCTGTTGTTTTCTTGGCATTAGGGTCGTGTATTTGTATTAAGTTGATGAATATATGTTGCTGTATTCTTAAAGGAACACAGGCTTCGGTATGGATTGCATCTCAATGCCAAGAAAACAAAAATCCTCACCACTGGACCAATAAACAACATTCTTATCAGCGGAGAAAAGATTGAAGTTGTTAAGTACTCCTCATTCTTCTTGGATCAACTATCAACATTTGCAGAAGCAGCAGTGAAGAGATCAGACAACATATTTCATTAGGCAAATCGGCTGCACAGGAACTTTTTAAAGTGTTGAAGAGCAAAGATATCACCTTGAGGACTAAGGTACGCCTTACCCAAGCCATGGTATTTACAATAACCTCATATGGATGTGAAAGCTGGACGGTGAATAAGGAAGATTGTAGAAGAATTGATGCCTTTGAATTGTGGTGTTGGAGGAGAATACTAAAAGTGTCGTGGACTGCCAAAAGAACCAATAGATCTGTTTTGGAAGAAGTGCAGCCAGAATGCTCCTTGGAGGCCAGGATGGCTAAGCTTTGTCTCTCATACTTTGGATATATTGTCAAGAGGGAACAGTCGCTGGAAAAGGATATCATGCTGGGTAAGATGGAAGGTGAGAGAAAAAGAGGAAGACCCCCAACGAGATGGATCGGCCAGGTGGCATCATTGATGGCATCGAGTGTGGCAGCAGTAGTGAGGTTGGCCCAGGATCAGACATTGTTTCGTTCTGCTGTGCATGGGGTCGCTATGAGTCAGTTCCAACTCGATGACACCTGACAACAACAAATTCTTAAAATAATCACCAGTTTCCTCCTGGTGGGTGTGATCAATAGATGAGCTTGTGTGCAGTTCTCTGTTCAGTTCAGGGTGGATTTAGCTGGCATTGGTTGTTGGAGTTGATCCAGTGTATAGCCGGTGGTATTGACTCTCTCCCACTTGGTAGGGTTGTAGAGGGTATGGTTGTGGTTGTGCTGTATGACCACAGTTGCTGTCTCCTTTGCAAGTCACAGGTATGTTTTCTTGTCTCTGAAACTATGCACATAAATTCAAGATGGCTGCAACAGGTCCTGTCAGCCACCTCAGCTCAGCAGTCACCTTCTATCTTGCCGCATCTGACCAACTCTCTCTCCCAGTAAGCACTCAGTCAACGTCTCCACCGTCTATCTGAAGCTTAGAGTTTCAGGATTATCTTCTGTATCTGTCTCATCTGCTTTTCCATATCCTTGCTGCAGAGGGTCCATGCAACCTCTGCCTCACTCAGCATCTTGCCCTGGCCCTCCAGTTCCCCATTTTGATAATTCAA